CCCCACACCCCCACACACCCCACTACACCATAACAACACATCCACACATCACACCACCACACCCACCACACCCACCACACCCACCACAGACACCTCCACATCTCCACACACCTCGCCACAATAGCACATCCACACACCACAACCACACACCACACACCACACACCACACACCACACACCACACACCACACACCACACACCACACACCACACACCACACACCACACACCACACACCACACACCACACACCACACCACCACACACCACCAAATTGGTATTCATTGAATACACGATAGTCGAAACATTTTTTAAACTATCTAATCTCTTTTTGTATGCATTTTTTAGATTCACACTCTAATATCAAAGCCAAAAAAAAAACAAAAATTTTAAATTCCCGAATTCACAAATTGAAAGATTCTCATAGCCAAATTTTGAAATTCTAAGAACGAACCACCAAACAAGCAGCATTCATGTTGCTATTCATAGTTGTAGAAAATAAAACCATCCACAGTTGAAGAAAACCAAAACAACACTCGAAATTACCCCTCTCCCCTCATAAGACCTCCTCTTCTTTAATTCTCACTTAAATATCAAATTCTCACTCTAATCCAACACCAAATTCAAACTCAAACATCAAAACCAAAGCATTAGCAGCTGCCACCGCCCCAATTTTGAATGTAAAAATCTCAAAAAAGCAGAAATCCCAAAAAACCAGTGTTGCATAGAAAACACAAGAAACTCATCAAGCAAATACACCAAGAATTTATGTACAAACCAATACGGCTAACAAAACAAATCTACCAATAAAAGATAAGGGATAGAGGATACCAGAAGAAGAAGCAAACGTCGAGAAACCCTCGTCACAGGTGTTAGGAAACGAAGAGAAAGAAAACGAGAAGAAACCGTAATAAGCCGAGCAAATTCGGGACAAGGGCGAGCAGGAGGAGCGGGGCACGGGAGAAAACGCGAGAGTTACGGAGCGAGCTATGCAGAAAACACGAAGTCGGGATAGAAGAATATTGCGAACCTGAGGTAGAAAAATATCACGAAGCCAGGGGGTAGCTGAATAATAATATCGCGAAGAAATACGGGGGCCCGTGTTTTTGTTAAAATTTCGAAAAAAGCCGTCACTCCTTATCGTCAAGAGCAACATATTGGATTCAACCATAGGGTATGAAAATAAATTTTCAAGCATTCACAAGCATGAAGGAATTGAGACTTGGCGATTTAATTGCATGCAAGTAATGCTATAGGCAATGCAAATTGAGATTTTTATGTGGTTCTATATCAACAACATACATCCACATTAAGCACAAATTTTTTGGGAATTCACTAATCTTTTCTTTACTAGTGGTTGTGGAGAAGTCTTGCACAAACGATATTCTCCCATTTTTGTCAGGTAGAGCAGCTTCTTTCTGTTCTTCAGGGTTAGGAGAATCCACCACTTGGTGTTTGTGGAAGCACTTAACATAATGCTATTACATAATTTAATACATGGCTTGCCATTAGAATTGTTATCTTTGTGAAAGCATTTAACATAAATGCTTCACTTTGAATATCCTATACACTTTAATGTTGATCCTTGAGATAATCTTATTGTAATTGAAAATTCTTTGGTCATTCTATAATTACTAAGGATGTGTGGGGCGACAGTGTTGTGGCGGTGCGGTGTTGCATTGTAGGTTTTTTCTATCCGCAAAATTCCGTTTTGCTTGATTTCTGAAAAAGCTGCAACTGAAAGCTGCCTTTTATCACTAAACCTGGCTACCTTCGGTTGCCGCTAGAAAGCTGCTGTTTGAATTTTTCAAATTTTTTTTAAATAGTGTCCACAATCTTTTGAACAACTTCTTATGCAGTAGCTTTAGAAGCGTTTCTTCAAATAGCTGTAGATGCCTCAGACATACCCTTAAGGTGTGTGGTTCTCCTCTATATACATCTTTAACAACTTTAATATATCTCTTAAACACAAATTGCTTTCTTAATGTAAAGCTGAAAATTATACATGAAGCTCAAATCATATATGTTCTCAAGTTCAATAAAAGTCATATAAAAATTCTTTTCTTTGCTTTTTTTTTGTTAATATTCTTTATACAAAAATCATTTTAAAAGTGGATCTACTTGGAATAAAATCAAATTAATTATAAAAAATAATGAAATTGTTTCATGTCCATGATTCATTACTCTCCCATGTCTTGATTGTAGGCCTTATCTGTTTAATTTTTTTGTAAATATCATAACTTTTGAGCATTTGCTCTTAAATATTCATATAATTTTTTTTTTGTTTATTTTGCATTCTTTTCATTTTTATAATTCCATTAAAAAGTTTGTTAATCATACCACTATAATATCTCCATAACTCTCCAAATCCTAATAAATATATCATATGAGCCTAAAGCTTTACCTCCATGAATATTTTTGAAGGCAAACTTTACTTTTCAGATCAATCTTTTATATTCATTATTATTCTCTGATCTTGCTCTATAAAAAAATTTCTGCTTTAAAACTCATATTTAATAATTTCTCTATGCTCATTTCTACGTTTTCCTGATGTCTTCATAAAATTTACCTTTATTAAACTTAATCAATCTCTTTTACTCTCTTCTCTATTGCCTTAACTGTTTAATATACTATATTGTTTATTTTTATCTCCTTTCTTATTACCAGGCGTACTATATAATCATTAAAGATTATGTTTCTTTGATCGTTATCCTTTTGACAAGACTTTAAAGCCTTCTCATAATTATTATAGGACTCAGTGTTATTT